GGTATAACCGTTTAAGTGAGTATTTTGACTAGTCAGGGATATGTGAATAACGAACTATGCCCTTGTGTGTTCATTAAGAAGTCACATTCCGGATTTGCGATTGTTGCAGTATATGTCGATGACATAAATCTCATCGGAACTCCTGAAGAGCTCGCGAGAACTGCTTCGCACCTGAAGTCGGAATTTGAGATGAAAGATCTAGGTAAGACTCGATACTGTCTCGGTCTCGAGATAGAGCATTGTTCGGATGAAATCCTAGTACATCAATCGAACTACACCCAGAAGGTGTTGCGCCGTTTTAATGAGGATAAAGCGAAGTCTTCGAGTACTCCTATGGTCGTTCATACGCTAGATGCAAAGCGAGATCCCTTCCGTCCGAAGGAGGATGATGAAGAGATTTTGGAGCCTGAAGTTCCTTATCTAAGTGCGATAGGCGCTTTATTGTACTTAGCTCAATGCACTAGACCCGACATCTCCTTCGCTGTTAATCTTTTGGCAAGATACAGCAATGCACCAACACGCGCAGACATTGGACTGGCGTGAAAGACATCTTCCGTTACCTTAAGGGTACTACGGATTTGGGCTTATTCTATCCCTACGAATCCTCGAGTGATGCCGCACCCTATGCTCATCGGGTTGATTCTCGCCTTGTTGGTTATGCCGACGCTGGATACTTATCTGATCCGCACAAGCGCGTTCGTTCAAACGGGTTATGTCTTTACCGTTGGAGGCACCGCAATATCTTCGAGGTCAACTAAACAGACCTTAGTTGCCACTTCGTCTAACCATGCTGAAATTCTCGCCTTACATGAAGCAACTCGGGAATGCTTTTGGTTGAGAGCAGTAGTGGGCCATATTCGAAGCTCCTGTGATCTTCATCCCGCCGTTAATGCCCCGACGACGATTTTTGAAGACAACGCAGCTTGCATCGAACAGCTCAAGAAGGGTTATATCAAAGGAGACAACACCAAGCATATTGCGCCAAAGTTCTTCTTTACACATCAACAACAAGAGCATCAGAAGATTGAAATCACGCAAATCCGATCACAAGACAATCTGGCCGACCTCTTCACCAAATCACTACCGAAGGCGACGTTTCTGAAGCTTGTTCATGGAATTGGTATGCGTAAACTTTCTGAGTTGTAACTTTGCTATTTCTCTGTGGAATTATGTCAAATTCAGGGGGAGTATCTTCTAGATACTTGCTTGATCTTAATGTACTCTTTTTCCCTACGATTAGGAGCATTTTTCCCACTGGGTTTTTGCTACCTAACTAGGTTTTAACGAGGCACCCACCTTGGGCTGGTCATATCCCTGATGACGTCCTGTAGACGTTTCTTTTGACTTTGCATTTCTCACGCATTTTTCCTTATTAGACTATGGATTTTGTCCCTACTTGGGTTTTTGCCATAGCCTTAGGGTTTTTTAGTGAGACTTACTACTTATGCAAGTTCCTACCTTATTGAGAATAAGCGTTGTTCCTTGGAATCAATGCCAACGAGTCGACTTCCTCAACTTCTGCATGATGCTGAATCTACCTTGAGTATTTACACACTCAAGGGGGAGTGTTGTAAACATTCCTAGTTTAAGTATGATTGTGTAAATCCTAGATAAGATTTGATTCTAGTTATCCTTTCCTATTACAACTTGTATTACTTGGAGAAGAAGGAATATCTTCTCTCCCTTTACTACTATAAATAAAGGCACAATGTAGGAGGGATAACAACACACACATTCCCCTACAATTCTACAAACACACATCTCTCTCCTCTCTCTCTCTGCCGCCGGCCCTAGTCCCTCTGTCAGATAAAATAGACCACAACATAACAAATCTATTAAAGCTCTTCAATGTGATGAAGGTGGTGAATACATGAGTTGAGATTTCAAAACTTTTCTTGCTAAACATGGGATTTCTCAACGTTTTTCGTGCCTAAAACATCATAAACAAAATGGAATTGTCGAACAAAAGCATCGTCATATAGTTGAAACAAGTGTTATAATGCTTTCTCATGCTCATATGCCTTAAAAATTTTGGTTCGATGCATGTTCAACAGGTATTTATATTATAAATCGGCTTCCAACAAAGGTTTTATCTAATGTGTCTCCATATGAAAAAATGTTTCAGAAAAATCCAAAATATGAGGTACTTAAAGTGTTTGGTTCAAAATGTTTTCCATTGTTGACACCTTATACACGGCATAAACTCTAACCCAAGTCCAAACCATGTGTTTTCTTAGGATACTCACTGAATCATGAAGGATACAAGTGCTTGGACTTATCCACAAGACGAATTTATTTGTCTCGCCATGTCTTATTCGATGAGGATTCCTTTCCTTTCAAGGAACTTGCATCTCCCAAGGAAAACGTCACTGCCACAGGTACTCTCTTGACCCCTGACTTAATTTTAAGCACAACATCCTCACCAACCTTGGAACCTTTCATATCTTCACCAAATGTTGTCGTGTCTCACCTTAGCATAAACCAACAGCCTGAGTCAACCTTGGTTTTTAATGTCCAGCCGCATATCATGCTAGTTTTTGCTCCTCCAAAAACTATTTTGAATTTAGAACTTAATCCTCATTCACCTACAACTTTTAACCTTAGTTTAAACATGACTCCTCAACCTAGTTCCATATTAGGTCCCACCAATGAGCAAGACTTGGTTCACATTCCATCCGTGCAACGTTCACAGAGTCCTTCTAATCCATCAACATTATCTACCATGTCATCTTCCACACGAAAGACTACTCTCCCACACTCAATGACAACTAGGTCAAAATCTGGGATTCAAAAGCCAAATCCAAAGTACGCTTTGCATGTAATAATTGACTCTAAATTTGTTAACATATGTACATGAAACAGCTGCTAGAATTTCTTGATCAACAGTATCACAATTATGTGTGTAAATTGCAATGAAGTTTGTATGGTTAAAACAGGATCCCAGAGCCTAGTTTCAAAGATTCTCGGATTTTCTCCTTTAACTTGGGTTTGAAGAATCGTTATGTGATTATTCATTGTTTGTGTTTAATCAACGAGGAGTTTACTTGATCTTACTTGCCTACGTGGATGATATTCTTCTTACCGGTAATAATGATAAACAAATGCAATGGTTGATCACGAAGCTCGGCACTTTGTTTTCTATGAAGGACTTAGGACCGTTAAGTTATTTCTTGGGTGTCGAGGTCACTTATTCTAGGTAGAATATGCATCTTACACAGTCCAAGTATGCGTTGGATTTGTTGAAATGCACAAAGTTTACTGATGTAAAACCTATTTCCACTCTTGTGCCTACGGGACATAAGCTAAGTCAGTATGATGGTGAACTTTATTCGAATCCAAAACAATATCAAACGGTTGTTGGAGCGTTGCAATACTTGACCATCACCAGGCCCAACCTTTCTTATGTTGTGAACCAGGTTTGCCAGTTCATGCATATGCCTCGGACTACACATTAGATGGCGGTTAAGAGGATCTTGCGTTATTTAAAGGCCACGTATGACCATAGTTTTGTCTATAAACCTGGAGATGTTCGATTAAATGCTTTCTCTGATGCTGATTATGCAGGAAATCCAGATACTCGTCATTCGACCGGTGGTTTTTGTATCTATTTGGGAACAAATTTAATTTCGTGGAGTTCAAAGAAACAAAAGACTGTTTCAAGATCAAGTACAGAGACCGAGTATAGGCAACTTGCTTATAATGCAGCTGAATTATCATGGTTAGGTAGCTTGTTTTGAGTTCTTCATATTTATCTTCTTCGGCCGCAGATATGGTGTGATAATGTTTCATCGATTGCTTTGGCTTCCAATCCTATGTTCCACGCATGAACAAAACACTTGGAAGTGGACTACCATTATGTATGAGAAAAGGTGGTACGCGGACAACTTTTGGTTCATTTTATTTGTTCCCAGGACCAGATTGCTGATTTGTTCACAAAGGGTCTATCTTCTTCTCGGTTCAAATGGTTAGTTTCCAAGCTTCCAGTGGTTGCTCGACCTGTTAGCTTGCGGGGGGATGTTAGACTAAGTCAATCTTATCAGAAACTCAGCTCCGAAACAAAATCTTTATAGGATAAGATTGCTAGGTCAGGTTTTAGTTTGAATAGTTCAAAGATAAGTTTGTTGTGATTTTGTATTTTGAATTCAAAGATCTCCGTGTAAATAGGGTATTCAAAACCCTACTTGTAATATGAAATTGATGTGCATAAATATATAGCAACCCATCATTATATGGGCATGCAACTGAGCTGAAAACCATAGTATTCTAAAGCTTTTACATAATCACCCACATACCATCTCAAAGTACTCTTTAACACATCTGTGGCACTCAGAATGCCTTTCCAAGCTATCAAATGATTTAGGAGGGTGTATTCAATTGAGAATTTGAGAGATTTCAATAGATTTATAAATCCATGGATTTTTATGGAGTCTAATTGATTTGTAGATATTCCATGTAAAATTTTAATTCATAGGGAGATGTGAGATTTGTGGATGCTTAAAATACACTACAAAATCTCTTCAATACCCTATAATTCCTTAACTTTTTCAAATTCTTTAAAATCAAATTCTAATTGAATACACCTGGAATGTTATAAACTTATTTAAAATTCTAATTGAATACACCTATATTTCTAAAGATTTTAATAAATTATCTTAAAATCTTGATTGAATACATATTAGATTTTAGAGAATCACTTAAAATTCCGATTGAATACGCTTAGATCCATTAAAAGAATTAAAATCCTTTAAAATCCTAATTGAATACAACCTGCTAAAGTCTACTTAATATCTCTCTCAAATGAAAACAAAATTGGAAGGCGGTCGTCAAAACACTAGTAACGACGTGTTTAAACGAAAATAGATTCACCTAGCCCAAACCAGAATCTAGAATATCAGACAGCACAGTAGTATGAAGTGTCAATTAAAACCCTAAATTTAAATGTGGAATCTCATCACACAGTAGTCAGCTCGTCAAAATCTACGGCCGCGATCAAAGCGCCAACAGATTATAAAAGCACCCGATTCCTCTGATTCCGCAGCCACACCTTTCACACTCTGCCATTTTCCTTCACCGTTCCGCTCCCTCCGCTGCGCTTCGCCTCGCCGCCGCCACCATGTGTGGGATTCTGGCAGTGTTCGGCTGCATCGACAACTCCCAGGCCAAGCGCTCCCGCATCATCGAACTCTCGCGCAGGTACGCATTTCCATTTCTTGCTTCTTCTTTTTTTTTTCCCCTGAATTTTGTTTGATTTCGCCTGGATGGATGAGAGATGGAGAAATGTTTGGGTGCGGATGAATGTATTGTAGGTTGAAGCATCGAGGTCCTGATTGGAGTGGATTGCACTGCCATGGAAATTGTTATCTTGCTCATCAACGGTTGGCGATTGTCGACCCTGCTTCTGGAGATCAGCCTCTTTACAACGAAGACAAGACCGTTGTTGTCACTGTACTCTTTCTCTCTCTCTAGCGTTGTGTTGTTGGTAATTTGTAAGCATTGCATGTTCTAGTCACAACCCTGTGATTTCGAACTTCGATTGATCTTGAAGTGGCTGCAACATTAGCCAGCTCAGATTTTTTGTAGTTTTTATTTTGATTTTTTATGTTGGATTGATTGTTGGAGCTGTGCGTTTAGGTTAATGGTGAGATATATAACCATAAGCAATTGAGAGAAAATCTGAAGTCGCATCAGTTCCGAACCGGCAGTGACTGTGAAGTGATTGCACATCTTGTAAGTAAATGAGCATTGCTATGAATCTGGTAATTAAATTACTTTATTTAAATTGGAATAGCAAAAATGGTTCCCTCTTGCATTAATTTATGTAAATTGTTTTCATATTTAACTACTAACGTTTATCTTTGGCAGTATGAAGAACACGGAGAAGAGTTTGTAGACATGTTGGACGGCATGTTTTCCTTTGTCCTCCTTGACACGAGAGACCAAAGTTTTATCGCAGCTCGAGATGCAATTGGTATCACCCCACTTTACATGGGCTGGGGTCTTGATGGTATGTACTGTGTCAGTTTCTAAGGCTTATTATTCACTCTCCTGTAACTCCATTTTGATCTCACTTTGCCCCATGTAACTCAAAAGTCACCACTTTACTCCTTGAAACTCGAAATTCACTCCACTTTGACTTGTGGACTCTCTCTTCTCCCTGAAACTCATAGGTCGCCTCCTAAACATACGTGGGACCCAACGCCCAATAAGACTATGCCACATGTGCAATAAATTTTATTATAAATCTCATTATGCGTTAACATTCAACAATCAGAGAATATAAGTTTAGAAGAAATTGAACAGATGAAAAAAATAAAAAATAAAATCATTAGCCTAGCGCACCCAAATCAACCCTAAGATATTAAAATTGAGTTCTGGGGGCAAAACGGAGCGAACTTTGAGTTTCAGGGAGTAAAGTGGACACTTTTGAGTTACATGGAGCAAATTGAGTTTAAAATCGAGGTTCAGGGGGTGTAACTAAAAATAAGCCTTTCTTAAACTCTTCTGACCAAAAAAGAAAATTACATATTATTTCCTAGACTGTTGCTTGATTATCATTATCATTTTTAAGCTTTGATTACCTCTCAGACGCACATTTAAGGAGTATATATCTTTTCGCAGGATCAATTTGGTTTGCTTCAGAAATGAAAGCTTTAAGTGATGATTGCGAAAGATTCATATCTTTTCCTCCTGGGCATATTTACTCTAGCAAGCAAGGTATGTATATGCCGAGCTCTTGTTAGTAGCAATGACTTTTATTGGTGAATCATATGAGATCTGCATACAGCCCTTTTATAATGTCCTTGTTCTATTTAAGAAAAAGGTAGAAGAAATGATTCTATTTACTTAAGGAAACTAAGACATTTTGCACATACTTGGAGGGGTAGGACATGTTTTTTTTATCTTATTACCTTAAAAAGGTTAAGTACTTGTGTACCGAGTGTTGTCTTTTTAGATTTGTATAACATGCATGCAAAATGTTGACCAAAACAAAATATGCATGTATAATTCTCAAGTTGTGGGCCTTTTAGATTTTGTATGCACTACTAATTTTATTAATCCATTTTATGTTTGCAGGAGAACTTAGAAGGTGGTACAATCCACCCTGGTTTTTGGAACAGACACCATCGGCTTCTTATGATCCCATAGTTTTACGTAAGGCTTTTGAGAAGGTATGCAATGAAGAACTTTACATTTCTGTTTTCTTCATTATGATTTATGAGTTAGTGGCAATATTTGTAAAGAATCAAAGTCCATTTTTGCCTTTTTTGTTTTTGTTTTGTTTTGAGAAGCATGTTACTTGGACAAATATACCTATCATATAAATTATTTCTTTCATTTACTCATAACCTTGTTCGTGCATTTGGTTATGCTATGCTGGGTGTGTTAAGATGGATCGAAAAAAAAAAGTGTATCATTTTTGTGTTATCCCTTCTCCCTAGTGGGGCCTCATGTCATAATATGAGTGTATTAGTTCATTTTAACTCAAGGCTAGGAATGGTTTTCAGATAAGTGGTTTGTACAGATGAATTTAAATCTATTTAAAACCAGGTAGTAGGTCAAATTGTCCTGCACATCTCACTCTTATACCACGTTTATTGTATATAATTTCTCATTTATCTTCTACTTCGATACGGAAATCTTGTAGGCTGTGGTGAAGAGACTTATGACAGACGTACCATTCGGTGTTCTTTTGTCTGGAGGACTGGACTCATCACTTGTTGCTGCTGTGGCTTGTCGCTATTTGGCTGATTCAGAAGCTGCATGTCAGTGGGGATCACAGTTACACACTTTTTGCATTGGCTTGGAGGTAATCTTTTTAGATTGTCAAAATTGGTGCTTACTCAGTGTAGTGCTATCTTGTTTAGATAGCTAAATGTGATGCCCTCTAAAGGTCCCCACCCCTTCCCCTTTTTTCCCTTGACAGCGTGGCTTGGTCAATTGGAGTACCACATCTGTTCACTTTGCGTACAAAAGATGTCCATTTAGATATGTTATATCTTCATGCTGCCAATCTGTTTTTTTATCCTTTTAAAAACTTGTACAGAACCTGATTTCCAGTTTGAAATAAGTATGTATTACACTTTGTAGTAAAAAAAATCAGAAAAGGGTGGGCTTAGTCCGTTTCTTATGCCTAATGACATAAAATCTCACTGATAAAAAGTTGTACACATTTATGTCTATAATGAGCAGTTGAGCCGTTAAGACGTTTATGATATCTGTATACTTGTATGGTTCATTAAAGTGGCAAGTTCAAAGAAATAAAAGGTCCTTGTTGTAGATGCTCAATCGTCTTTCCCATGTAAATTCTGGCACCTGAGAGATTTAGACACTTTATTGCAATCAATCTTTTACGAGGCTTTATCTAGTGATGGTTTTTCTCTACATTTAAATGCTACATTTTCAATCTTCAGAAATCACCAGATTTGAAGGCAGCGAGAGAAGTTGCAGAGTATCTTGGGACTCGTCATCATGAGTTTCACTTTACTGTCCAGGTAATTGACAAAGGATGCAAGATGAACATTTCTACTCAGGCTTAAGTTTATGTCTGAAATTTTGGAATGAGTTTATCTGTTTAGGGATTGAATTTTAAGGTTAATTTGCGATTCCAAAAATTTGTTATCCTTTGTATTTAATGATTTTGAATTGCTTATAATAGCCTTCACATTATTGGTATATTGATTAAAATTACAATATTGTGTTTATACCGATTTGTTTCTCCATAAAATTTTCTGTCTTTGTCTTTCTCTTCTTGTATTCATTTCTATACTTTTTTCCATTTTCTACATTAACTTTGTCCTGCATCCGTAATCTGAGGACAAAAATACGGATCTTCATTCCTAAGATTCAAACAAATAATTCATCTTTTTACTTTGATGTTTCAGGAAGGCATAGATGCACTTGAGGAAGTTATTTACCATACTGAAACATTTGATGTAACGACTATCAGAGCTAGCACTCCCATGTTTCTTATGTCTCGAAAAATTAAATCTTTGGGAGTAAAGATGGTTCTTTCTGGGGAAGGTTCAGATGAAATTTTTGGAGGTTACTTGTATTTCCATAAGGCACCAAACAAGGAGGAGTTTCACCAAGAAACATGTCAGAAGGTACCCCATGAAACCATCTCTACCCCTAGTTGTTTCTTTTCTGTTTCATTTGTCGCAAATGGTTATGTACTTTCAACATTTGTGAAAAAAAATTTCCTACTTATTTAATGGCCATTTTGACATTTTTTTCCCCTTCTTGAACTGTTGTAACTAATGGACAGATTAAAGCTCTTCATCTGTATGACTGTCTGAGGGCCAATAAATCAACTTCAGCTTGGGGTGTTGAGGCCCGTGTGCCCTTTTTAGATAAAGAGTTCATCAATATTGCCATGAACATTGATCCAGAATGGAAAATGGTATAGCACATATATCGCTGGTGTTTCCCTGTATTTTCCAAGTTTTTATGTAGCAGCTCGTGTATCATATACCAAGTCTACTACAATTATTTGGCATAGCGGCTTCCATCCATAAAACAAAGTTAAAGATTGCCTCAGTCTCATTGTATTCTTTAATTTTACACCCATTTTATTCATTCCTAGGTGCAAAACCTGTCATATTGGTTTGTTTCATTGTATGTAACAGAGAGTTTTGGTGGTCTCTGGTCACTCTTTTAGATTTATGTTCCTATAGTTGCACTTTCGAAATTTTTGGGATTATATTGATTATTATTTTTTCTTTCCCCTTACAAAATCAAACTAAAAGTTATCATTGGCTTCCTACAGCTAAATATTTGCACATTTAATTGCAGATCAGGCCTGGGAGAATTGAGAAGTGGCTCTTACGCAATGCATTTGACGATGATCAGAAGCCATATTTGCCAAAGGTCTGTAACTTTTGGTGTTTGTGTCAGTAATCGTGTTCTGCATGATACAAAATGTTCAATATGCAATATATATACACAAAATTTTCAAGTATGGATGGTGAGAGGCGGCCTCTCAGCAATGCATGGTTGGTTGACCAGCCACTCACACTCCGCAGTGTGGTGGTGCCCTATTTATGCAATATATAGCTAACTTGTTTGTACCTTGTGTTTTTTGTTATAGCACATATTGTACCGGCAGAAGGAACAGTTCAGTGATGGTGTTGGCTACAGTTGGATTGACGGCTTGAAAGATCATGCAAACAGTCAAGTAAGCATCACCTTAAGTTAGAGTTATCTTTTTGAACGGAAATCCGTTGTCATCTGTGTTTTCTGCCACTTGCCAGGTTATTAATTTGGACTGTTGATTAGGCATGTCCTTTCTGAATTTGTGCTCCATATCGAGAGTTTAACGACAGAACATGTCATTGCAGTTCAATTTAGAGTTCTGTCTGTACTTTGTTCCAAACCAGAGTCAGAAAACATTAGAGATACTTCTTTATCTGCATATAATTAATTAATCGTCTTTTGTTTCTTGTAACTGGACAGGTAACAGATTCAATGCTGAGCAATGCTAGCTTCGTTTACCCTGAAAACACTCCTACGACAAAAGAAGCATACTATTACCGGACAATATTTGAGAAATTCTTTCCAAAGGTGAGATACAAATTCTAAGAATAGCCAAGTAGGCTTGGCTACATGAAAGAGATTTATTCACTTGCTTTATCATTATATCTTGCTTCAATTTTTTTTTTTTTTTTTTTTTTTTTTTTGTTTATCATGATGGAAGAGGTCGCACTTGGTGCGATGGCAAGTGTCTTCGCCCATAAGCGGTAGGTCTCGGGTTCGAGACTTGGGAGCAGCCTCTCCATAAATGGGGGTAAGGCTAGCCGACATTCACCTCTCCCAGACCCTGCGTAAAGCGGGAGCCTTGTGCACTGGGTACGACCGACCTTTTTATCATGATGGAGTTGGTGAAAGATTTCTCTGCACGCTTATTCTAGAACTAAACATGCCAATAGTATCTAATGAGAGTACGACGGGCATGCCATTTCTTTGCTCTCATCTTTAATCGTGCACCTTGATGAAAAATGGATAATGGTTGATGGAATTGACTATTTGCCATTTCTGAACAGAATGCTGCCAGATCGACAGTTCCGGGTGGTCCAAGTGTGGCGTGCAGTACAGCAAAAGCTGTGGAATGGGATGCAGAATGGTCAAAAAATCCTGATCCATCTGGCCGTGCTGCACTTGGTATTCATACAGCTGCATACGAGGAAGCAGGGGATGCAGAAAATGGAAATGTTCTTAGTGGCTCTAAAAAAGTACGAGAAGGGATTGTGGAGAAAGCTGCCGCGGTTGTTTGAATTCAACTCAATTTCAAAACTTACGGGTTCAGGTCTTAGCTGTAGTTAATTTGTCCAGGTCTTGGTTGGTATTGGTTTCTATTCTTACACGTCTAAAAGACCGTCTTAGTTGGTATTTGTTTTGCGTATAAGAAACACATTGTGAACCAGTATAGTATTTACAATGATTACTACCTAATCAAAATCGTCGTACAATGCTAAGGTCGTGTTTATGTACATCGAGTGACTTTTATGTAGAATCGTAATATACTCGCTGCTCCAGATAGCGTAATTAACCTTCTGGTCCCTCACCACCGGAGAAGAATGCCATTAATGAAGTAATAAATTAAAAAGAAATTAACCTCCAAAATTCCATATCTCAAGGAATAATTACTGAGGCAGGATGGATCTCCCAATATTAAGAACCTAAAATGCATACATGTTCACCCAATACCAATAGAGATTCAAGATGAATCCACTTCCACCGATTCCAGCCACCCCATCTCTATTCTCTAACCCATCCATCGATTCCACTGATTCCAGCCACCACACGGCTCAGGCACTGTACTCACTCCATGGTTTAGATTAGATAAGAAAATTACTAGAGAAGAAATGGGGCAGGGTAGGGCCGGATGTAATTGTGGGGCGGGGCAGGTTTAAAAGTTAGAAAGCATGGCCTCCCGAACCCCGCCCGTTTATAATATAAGCAAGGTTCTAAAAAATGCTAGGCGCTAGTCGGGCGGCGGACTAGCGCCTAGCGCCTAGGCGGCTAGGTGGCGCCTAGGCGGCTAGGTGGCGCCTAGGCGACCTAGGTGGATTTAGGTAAATTTTTTGTATATCTTGTAAATAAGTGCATATTGACACCTAAACAAAACTACTTGTATGGATAATAAAATAATGATAAAATGCAAATTAGGTACACTATTTCCATAAGTATTGGATGAACTTGTAGTAAATCCATCATTTGCAAATTAGATACACCATTTCCATAAGTATACCACCATGAAACCAAAAAAGAAAAAAGCATGCAATTAATAAAAAAAATTAAAAAAAACCTCCTAGGACCGCCTAGGACCGCCTAGCCCGCCTAGCTGCCCAGCCCGCCTAGGCCCAACCCGATTTTTCCTCCCGATTTGCCTAAAAACGCCTCGGTTGCTAGGCGCCCAGTGCCTAGGCGGCCACCTAGGGCGTTTTTTAGAACACTGAATATAAGTTATAACTAGTCTCTTGTTATATGTGTACGAGTGTGGCAATTTATTTTTTGACTTTTTATTTGAAAAAACAAAAAACAAAAATAATAATATATCTTAAAAAATAATAAATGTTGTAAAAATTATGAGAATGATTGAATGCCCACATGGGAATAGTAGTGAATAGTAGGGAATAGTTTGTTGTGTTATGCTTTTTCAAAAGTGGTTTATCACGGATGATTGTTTGATTTATCACGGGTGATTTTCATTCTCTATAAACCTACGGATGTGACTATAAATAGAGCACTATGCGGGTGATCAAGACAGCAACTGTGCGGGTGATCAAGACAACAACTGAAAGAGAAAAGAACTCAAAGCAATAATATCAATATCCCTCCCTTCCTCTTTTTACTTGCAATCCTTTTGTGTTATAGTTGTATATTTTGCACCCGCTTTGTCCTTGTCCTTAGCAAATGTTATCTCTCTAACTTTTGCCTATTTATAACACGTTATCAGCACGACTTTCTAACCCTAAATAGTTCTTATCTCCATTTGCTGAAAAATGCTTCCTCCAAGGATTTTACTATTATTCTTTCTCCTCTGCCTCACCTACTAGATGTACCCTCGCGAAGAACTACTAGCACCATGCCTGCTTCTAGTTTCAATATAACAATTACTTATATCTTTGATTTCTTGTTTGGTGTAGCTTCTGATTACTAACTCAGTGTTCATTTATGTTAATTTTACTGCGATTGAAGATGGTGCGGTATCATCGCCCATCTTGAACTGCATATTTAATTTTACTGCAATTTTAGGTGGTGTAATATAATCGTCCACACTGCTTTGCATATTTAAATTTTCCTGCTGCTTGAGTGGTGCGGAATCGCCCATTTTATACTATATTGTTTCAACGAGAGTGGTGCGGTACAATCACCCTTCTTATTAATCATGTAAAGCTTGAGCTTGAAGTTTCGAGTGCTTATCATTTTGACCTAAAGATCAAAACAAAAAATTTGTAAGAACCAGAAGTTCTAACACTATATTCCTCCAAAATACATATTATTGCAAGTTCTTACACATCTCATTTTTCTTTCAGAAAGAAAATGATGAACTTGGCAAAGCTTGATTTTGTTGCCCTAGACATTACTGGGAAAAACTACCTTACTTGGGCAATGGATACCAAGATCCATTTGGAGGCAGGGAATCTTGGAGAAACCATCAAGGAGGAAAACAGTGCATTCTCTCAAGATCGAGCAAAGGCCATGATCTTTATCCATTGCCACCTTGATGAAGGACTGAAGAGCGAATACCTAACGATTAAAGATCCATTAGTCCTCTGGAAGGCTTTGAGAAATAGATACAATCACCAGAAAACGATGATTCTTCCAAGGGCTCGTTATGAGTGGACTCACTTAAGGATCCAAGATTTCAAGTCGGTGGCTGAGTACAATTCTGCAATGTTCAGAATTAGCTCTTAGATGAAGCTCCGTGGGGAAACCATCACTAAGGAAGATATGCTAGAAAAGACTTTCAGTACCTTTCATGCCTCCAACGTGCTCATGCAGCAACAGTATAGAGAGCGAGACTTTATCGAGTACAATCAGCTGATATAGCAAAACAATCAGCTTCTGATGAAGAATCATCAGTCCCGACCTATTGGATCGACACCATTCCCAGAAGTGAATGTTGCTTCCCTTGAAGTGAATACTACATCCTCTTGTGGCAATAATTATAAACGAGGACGTGGCCACAAGCAAGGTCAGTGGAACTGGAAAAGCAAGAACCATGGTGTCCAGTTTCATAACCAGGTTCCAAGGCATAATTCAGGCCCGAGCTTTAAGAATGCAAATCGCCATAAAGGCAAAGGTCATATGAACACTCCTAGAAATCCTGAAAGATTTTGCCATAGGTGTGGTGGCAATGGGCACTGGGCACGTACCTGTCGTACCCCAAAACGTCTGGTGAACCTATATCAAGCCTCTCTCAAGAAGAAGGGTGTCGAAACCAATTTCCTCGACCAGGTTAAACAATGGATATACCTGATCCAGTGTTCGATTTATCAGAGCAGTTGAATATAACCCACCTAGATGTCTCAGACTTCATTGTGGAAAAAGGGAATGAAGTGTATCGGTCCGATTGAATCAATTCTATTTGATGTACTCTTATTATTCTAAAATTGTAGTCTAATGCTCGCATTTCAATTCAATAAAAGTGGCATTTCAATTTCCTTTTATTATGAATAAACTGTTTTTAATTGTGATTCCCTTACTCAGAGAGCATGGATAAAAATTATGGTTATTCTCAAAACAAGAGCAATGGCGAAGATATTTGTCTTGCAGACAGTGCAACCACGCATACAATACTTCGAGATTGAAAATATTTCTCAAGCTTGATGCTTACAAATGTAAAGGTAACAACAATATCAGGCTATTCAGATGTAATTGAAGGCTCATGAAAAGCCTAGATCATGTTACCAAATGGAACGATATTGTCCATACAAAATGCGTTGTACGCTACTCGATTTACTCGAAATTTGTTGAGTTTTAAAGACATACATTTAAATGGATACCACGTTGAAATGAGAAGTGCATAAAATATAGAATACCTATGCATTACCTCCAATGATACCTAGATGCGTATATTGGAGAAGTTGCGTGGTTTATCGAGTGGATTGTATTATACATACATAAAGACAATTGAAGCACATACTGTCATGAACCAGAAGTTCATTGATTAAAAAATTTATATGCTTTAGCATGACCGTCTGGGTCATCCAGGATCCACTGTGTTGCGAGAATCATTACCAACTCTAATAGACATCCATTATTGAGCAAACACATTGCTATCTCAAATGATAACCCTTGCAAGGCTTGTTCTCAAGGGAAGTTGGTAATTAGATCATCACAACTAAAGATTAATGATGAATCCCCATCATTTTTGCAAAGAATTCAAGGGGATATTTGTGGGTCTATTCAACCACCTTGTGGATCATTTCGATATTTTATGGTTTTGGTTGATGCATTTACCCGATGGTCACATGTTTGCCTCTTGTCTACTTGAAATGTAGCTTTTGCGAGACTTCTTGCTCAGATAATTAAGTTGCGAGCATAGTTCCCAGATTACCCCCATTAAGTCAATCCGACTTGATAACGCTGGTGAATTTACGTCTCAAACCTTTGATGATTACTGCATGGCACTAGACATTGATGTTGAACACCTTGTTCCTCATGTCCATACTCAAAATGGTTTAGTAGAAGCATTTATCAAGCAGTTTCAATTAATAGCTCGCACTCTACTTATGAAAACAAAATTGCCAATCTCTGCATGGGGACATGCCATCTTACATGCTGCATCATTGGTTCGATTGAGACCTATAGCCAACCACCAATACTCCTCAGTACAACTCATATTTGGCTATTAGCTAAACATTTCACATTTACGAGTTTTTGGTTGTGCTGTTTATGTGTGTTTGTACCATACTTGACCAATCCTGAAACTACTGAGCACCAGTCAAGGACCCAAAAGAGTTTCCCTCCAACCAAGAGGCCAATCACAGCGCGACACGTGTCGACATTAGAAGCCAATCATAGCGCGACACGTGTCAACATCAGAAGCCAATCACAACACGACACGTGTTAATGTCAGAATGAAACTAGAAACTCTCTTCTATAAATAGAGATCATTCTCTCACAATATTTTCGAAGGTCATTGGAACTAAATCATTCACTAGTACTCACTAAAGGAGAGCTTGAACCTATGTACTTGTGTAAACCCTTCACAATTAATGAGAACTCATCTACTCCGTGGACGTAGCCAATCTGGGTGAACCACGTACATCTTGTGTTTGCTTCCCTATCCCTATCCATTTACTTACTTATCCACACTATGACCGGAGCAATCTAGTGAAGGTCACAAACTTAACACTTTCTGTTGTACCAAAGTCCTCGTTGATTTTGTGCATCAACATTTGGCGCCGTCTGTGGGAACGACACTTATTCCCACTCTCTTCAGCTTTGCCAAGCTGGTTTCCACCATTCATATACTCTCTT